GGAAGTCCCACAGGATCTTAGCTCGGTCAATCTCCATCACCCTTGGGGGCATCTTCCATTTTGACCTCTTGACTTCCAGGTTATACTCAGCACAGATGTTCCTGTATACTATGCTGGCCACTTGGTTATGGCGCTCCGGCTTAGCGTACAACCTCAGGGTGCTGGACTTGGGGTGAAACCCTCCATGCATGGTCAGGAGCTTTCTTGTCTTGATGTCAATGGCTTCTATCTTCTCCTTTGGCCAGCCTATTATCCCAGCAGGGTTCCTGATCACGGGCAGGGTGTAGGTGTTGATAGCCCGGATCTTGTTCTTACCGTTCAGCTGACTCCTCAGGACTTGCCTGACCCTCTGAAGGAACTTGGTGGTTGCAGCTTTCCTAGTGGCCTCTTCGTGGTTTCCATTTGCCTGTGGGATGCCCAGGTACTTGTAGCTGTCCTCTATGTCTGCAATGTTGCCTTTTGGTAGTTCGATCCCCTCAGTTCTGACTACCTTCCCTCTCTTTGTTATCATCCGACTACACTTCTCCAGTCTGAATGACATTCTGATGTCATTGCTGTATATCCTGGTGGTGTGGATCAGTGAATCGATGTCTCGTTCACTCTTGGCATACAGCTTGATGTCATCCATGTACAGGAGGTGGCTGACAGCTATTCCATTACGTAGTCGGTATCTGTAGCCAGTCTTGTCAATGATAACACTGAGGTTAAGGGGTTAAGGCCTATGCAGAACAGCAGTGGGGAGAGAGCATCTCCTTGGTAGATGGTGACTGGCTATGGGTTTGAAGTTGGCTACGCCACATCCCCATTGAGTTCTTGATGAAGGCTCTTAGGGTCCTGTTGATCTTGTATATATCTAGCCATTCCATTTGTGGGGCATTGAGTCATAGGCCTTCTTTAATCAATCCAGGCAGTGCACGGGTTGGTCAGTCTGGTCTTGCAGTCTCGGCTGATTGTTCAGTCTACCAATAGCTGGTGTTTTGCGCCTCGGGTATTCTTGCCCATCCCTTTCTGTGCCCCACTCATTTATTGAGCCATGTGCCTGTTCATCTTAGCCGCTATGATGCGGAGCTTCCACGTGGTGCTGAGGCAGGTTATTGTTCGGTAGTTGGAGGGGACCGGTCCTTTCTGGGGGTCCGTGAAGATCAGAACTGGCCGGCCTTTGGTTAGCCATTCTGGGGGTTTCTCGTCAACTAGCAGCTGGCTCATTTGTTCTGCCAGACGCTTGTGGAGTGCAGTCAGCCTACTGGCTGCAGTCTTCAGCCAGTAGGCGTGAACCATGTCGAGGCCTGGTGCTGTCCAACTCTTCATACTGGAGACCCTTTCTTGGATGTCTGCCACTGTGATGGTTACTGGACCCTGTTCAGGGAGGTTGCTGTGGTCTGCCCCCAGATCCACCCGTTATGGGTTGCGTCCTTCTCCCATATGCTCTTCCAGTGTTGTTCAGTATTGTTCCAGCCTTGGTGGTGCTGTTCTCATATTGTTCCCCTGCCACTGAGAGTACACCTTGGCTGGTTATGTGTGGAACAGCTGGTTTATTCTCTTGCCTTCTATCTGTCCGGTGTACCTCTTTAAGTGGCTGGCCAAGGCTGTGAGTCGTTGTTTGGCAGTTTCCAAGGCCTCAGGTATGGACAGCTTCCTGTACTTCTTAGGCACCTTCTTCTTCGCACCTTTCTGCAACTCCAATAGTTGGCTAACCTCCCTCTGTGCTACCTTGATCTTAGCCTCTAGCCTCCTTCTCCATGGAGGGTACTGCCCCTTGTGGCTGTTCAACTTGTAGCCAAGCATCTCACTGATCACTCATTCCAACACACGTATAAGCACCAGTACATATTATCACGCAATCATGGCATCAAAGCAAGTGTAAAGAAGCGAGGACATAAAGTCCCACAAGGAGAATGCAGTAAGGGAGAGAAATAGTCTAAGAAAACTGAGGGATGGAAAAGGAGACAGAGATAGAATGAGATAGAAGGTCCAAAAATTTGGTAGCTTGACAGTCATTTCATATTAATACTCTACATTAAGAGCCCCTATGATGAATAATTAATCTGCTGGAAAATGTAGTGATTTGTGCGCCTGGCAGGCTAATGCAATGTAAAATAAAGCCCTGTGAGTGAGTCTGTGGATGTACACAGAATACATTTGATGAGTATTAAGTTTGAGCAAGAGGCTGTATATTTGCAGACCTTAGTCATGCATTACATTTGGTTTATAACACAAAGGTAAAATTACATCTTTAACTGCACCAGTCACTGCATGGTATAATAACAGGTCATCTAACAAAGCAGTGTGCAATCTTTCAAGCCAATGTGAAGTGTGGCATGAGAAAATGAGTAGTATTACTTTGACTGTGCAGTGACTCAACCCACATTAAATCCAACATGGAAGAGTGGCACTTGAATCTATCTGTTTTGACCAAACTGGAGAGCTTATCCCCCTTTTTTTCCTCACTTGAACCTGGGAGCCAAATATTACAAAACACATTCTTTTTTTTTCTTTTCTTTTTTTTGGCATACAAAATGCTAGAGAACACTTTCTCTGTTTATCTTTCCCTCGATCTTAACCCATCTGGATTATTTCCCCATTCCACTTCTGCCTCGCTCATTGTCTCTGTCTTGTTCCTCTTAGGGAAGCCTCTCAAAATAATTATAAGCAGAAGGAGTTCCAAAAGTTTACTACACATGCTTTCTGACTCCATCAGCACCCCCCCATTCCCATTTATGTCAAAGATCATTTAGGTAACCAGATTCAGTGTATCCTCTGTGTACCCCATATTACAGTCAGGATTCATCAGCAAGTTGGGTGGGTGCACATCTGATTCCATGCTAGTATGGGACTCCTCTTTTCAAATGCAAGTTTATTATCTCAAAAAGCAGCTTTCTTCTGAAATTTAAAGCGACAACAACGTTTGCGCGCACGTGTGTGAGCGAACTGCCTCTTTACACTATCATCTGTGCAATACTGACGCATTCATATGTTGCAGTAGGAAAAAAATGCTCAGAGAAACCTAATAAATCATTCATATATTTTCAAGACGTTGTATGAAAATCTGAGTATGATGAAATAATTGAACAAAACACCCTCGTTCCCCACAATGTGCCTCTGAGCTATACGACGTAACCTTGCTGACACCACCTCAATGGATAATGCCACAGGGTACTGAAATAGTAAGTCCATATTAATAAAAGTAATAATAAGTGGGCCTGTACAAGTGTCAAACAGTGCGGAACAACTGAAAGATACTAATGAGAAAGCTGTGGCTCTCAAGGCATCATCTATAAGGGCCCTGTTTGAAGTACACATAATGCAGACTTCTCTGTTTCCATGGAGACCTATTGTGATCCCTAGCACACACTATACTCAACATGCCCCTCAAGCTTTTATTCTTCTATAAGCACGTGTTTGACAGTTGTAAAAACAGGTGCAATTGGGTCAAAGGTGAACTTGTCTTTAGCACTGACATAATGCTAGGCTCAAACAATGCTACTCTGGCTTTTAGCTGCCCGCCTGTATAAAAACATGGCCTCACTTGGTTGTGCAATAAGGGCTCTGCGGAGAACTGAGCTAATTTTAAGTGTGGAGCAAAAATGTAGATCAGGAGTAACACACATGCCCTACCTAGCTGGCTCTTTTTGGATGTGCATTAACTCAGCAGCACTGGACCTGGACAAACCTTTGGAAAAGCTGAGGCAGTAGTCCACATGCTTCATAGCGGTGTTTAATCCCATTCTCACTTACATTTTCTTGGCAGCAGCGTCTGCTAAAGCCTTTGTTTGCTCTATAAGCACTCTAAAATATGTCTGTTTTTTCCCTCTTAATATCATGACACAGTTTAGACAGAGGGAGAGACAAACAGATGTATTCTTCCCATTAAGCTCTCGTCTTTTAGATGTCATGTTGCGGTTTATTGACGCACTTGTGCTCTGTAAACATCTCTCTGTCTCTGGCTGTTGTTCAGGGCCCACACCCGTGTTCGTTAAGTTTCATTTGAGCTCAAATCCGAAGGCGAAATAAGAAGAGAATCATTTTCACTGCTTTCCAAAAAATGGTTTTCATGTTACATTCAGGCGATTTCGAACTTGCAATTCCCAGCTGATGAAGAAAATAACAGATGGGTCTACTGCAATTGCATTTTTTTTTGTACTCACATGCAAAAGGCCTACTCATTTATTTATGTGCTACACAGAAGGGAGCTTAGAGTTTTACTAAGTTAGAGCTTTTTGGGCTTTTCAATTCAATTTTTCAGAGAGCAGCTCTCTCACTTCACAGCTTCTCACGCGAGCAGTTTTATTCCACTTGTGCTATTTTCTGTCTCCCAGCAAACTCCCATTTACCCTGTCTATTTTAGATCCTGCTAATAATGGAGCAGCGTCACGAAAATCAATAAATCTGTGCTTATGTCAAAGCGATTCGTGGTTTATGTTCTCATAATCTGATTCAAAGAGGGATGGAGTTTCAACCCATGAAAGGTGAACTGCGTTTTTTTTTCTCAGATATTTTTCTGCAGTTCCCAAACAGAGTGGCACCTCATTATGTTGATTGCCAGTTGTGTGTAACGCAGGTAGTGTATGGAGAAGAAATAAACAAACATCATCAAAGAATAGCCTGATATTTTATTTTTCAAGTGATAATCATCGTGCGTTTATGCAGTAAACAGATGTTGCGCGAACAATTCGTGTCTACCTCAAAAAAGTGGTTGAACTCTACCCTGCAAATAAAAAGCTGGGAAAACTAGTAGCTTAAGGGGCTTAATTGCCCTCCACTCCGATTAACCTATTCAATCTATCAACGGCCTGAACTAGAATTTCAACAAACAAATGCAAATGCGTCCTTGTCCCACTGCACCCCAGACCCACACGGCCGGGGCGTGGTTTTAGGGGTGGAGCAAGGCAGCACGCTTTCAAGTTTTCAAACTGCCAAAGTGCTTGGTCAGGCAGAAAACAAGGAAATAACTCCCAGAGAGGAAAAGCAAGGGGTTGGGTCGTTTCTTTCTGAGGATGAACTGCTTCATTTGTTTGAGCTCGTAAAATCTTTTAATAATCTTGTCAAGATTTAGACGCATAGTGTCTTAAATTAGGACACAATGCCCACTTGAATTGGCAGTAACAACTTCAAATCACTTATTTTGGGTTAGAGTATTGTGATCAATCTGGTGTGGTTTTTTTATACAGAGTATAAAGCCTTGCTTGCCTCATCTGGAGCGCCCGCCCATTGGGCTTTCTGTGGAGCGATAGTGGAGAGATTGATTATAAGGTCTACGGGATTTGCCGTGGAAAAAAACAGAGCCTGCTTGGACTGCTTGCTCGTGATCTTGCGCTCCCATCAGTGAAGGAGAAGGAAAATTATCCGGGACTCATTCCAGTCTGACTCCCAAAACCGTCAGCACTCCCCGCCCCCCTTCGTGTATCCAGATACGCAGGAGTCACGCCGGACTTTTAGTTTTTACTGAGGAGGCTGCGAGTGCGAATCGCCTCCGCAGTCTCGGATGCGTAGTGAGCCGGTGCTGCGAGTGAGTGGGTTGGGTCGCCTAGGCGCCGGGCATACGCACACTTCATCGTCAGCAATAAAAGCAGATAGGTGAGGGTAAAGGCGAGAGGAAACGACATCCGAGGCTTTTTATTTATTTATTTTAAACAGAAGGACGTTGTAGAGAGGTGGGTCGCACATTTGGAAAGCCGCCGGCTGTGGATTTGACTCTCAAGGAAGCTTTTTTCTTCTTCTTCTTGCCTCCGGGGTTTTGTAGACCTCCTTATTTTCTGATTCAGGACCAGTAGCTGACCACACTGTCAGACGCCACCGGCTTCTCATCTAAAAGGAGGGAATATTAAAAGTGGATCAGCGGAGCAACACACACACATACAATGGCAACCGGTGCGCTCTTTCTAGTCTGCGCGCTGCTTGGTAAGTCATCTGAAAAAAGAAGGTGAAAAAAGCTTTCAGACTGCGTTTGTTATCTGATTTTTATTTATTTATTTATTTATTTATTTATTTATTTATATCAGTGCTCAGATTTCCGAGATAAAATCGGCATCTGCTGTTTGTCTTTCACGGCACACCTGTATGAGACATGTCAATCAAACGGCTTTACAGGCAGGGGAACTGGGCTGGTAGTCATTCTGAGTCAGGTGGAAGTAGACTACTTCGGTTAAATCGCTGCAATAATAACAGATGCCCGTGAACAGCTGTGTGTGTGTGTGTGTGTGTGTGTGTGTGTGTGTGTGTGTGTACACGCGGTGAACTAGGTTAATGTGATATTTGGTCTTTAGTTAGAGACTAAGCTTATACAGTCCTGCAGTGTTAAATGGATTGATCATATAGGCAACCAGCTGCTGTCGCCACACACACGTGTATCAATACATCCCCTATAGATGCACATAATATAGGCACACCTGGATCTGTGCATAATAGATTCTGATGTCACCCAGTGCCTGCTCTGCTTTACAGTAAGTCATCATCATAAAAAACATTTGTCACTTAGTGTAATTTATGAGACCTTCCTGCAAATGCAAGTTTAGACACATTGATGACACACACACCACACACACACTAATACAAACATTCATGCAGACATCACTGCTGACACACACATATACATTTCATCCTGCCTGTGAACTGTCCCAAACAAACACCAGATGGCTTTTCTGTTCCTGGACTGGGTGGCCTGTCAGCACTGCTGAGGGGGGGCACAGAGGAGGGGGCGAAGTGGGAGTGGAAGTCGGCCTGCTGGAGGCCCCCACTTGGCCAAGAGGATTACCAGCCTGTGCCTTGCTTCTCATCCCCTTTCAGCACATCGTGAGTCACTTTCACTAGGATCGGACCTCTGTGCAGGTTTTCCAATTCGAATGTGAGATGCGTTGGCCTTCACACGGTCACAGTACAGATGAGATATCGGTGGTAAAGAGGGATAAGAGAGGGGTTTTCATGTTGCATAATCATGATTCAATTTGGAAGCCCTTTGAGGTGGCGAAGAAGCTTTTGGGTGCAAGGAGGGAGACAGTAAAATGTAACAACTGTCTGTGTGGCTCCTGTTGAAGTAACAGTGTTTAACATGATACTAATGCTATTATTGCCAACATTATCAGTAATGTGAACCTGACAATTGGGACGTAGTCCAAACCAAAGGCAGAAACTCACCACAACGGAAAAATTACAGACTCAGAGTAAATTATCTGGAACCAGTTTGTTAACAAAAGTGCAAATTCTCTGGCTCTGGCTTTTTAAATTGGAGTCTTTTCAGACTATTCTGATTGTTCTGTAAACAATGTCTGTGGGATTAGACTGCTAGTCAAACAAAGGCATGACATGTCTTTAGGCTTTGGTAACTTGTGATTGGTATTTTTCACTGTTAGCTGACATTATAAACCAATCCCCCTCGAGAAGACAGAAAAAAAATATTGGGGTGGCAATCAACTGGCAAGCAGTCAAGTTCAGTTATTCCAAAATAGAAGTGGTAATTTAAATCAGCATGATGGCATCAGGAACTTTTTTAATTTTCCTACTTGAATCATTTCTGTTCACAATGATTTCAAATTCTATACCTGTCCTCCAATTTTAGAGCCATCAGAGCCATGAACTAAATAACTAAATAACGTGTCTGAAGGAAAAATATGCTTATATTTCATATTAGCAGTACTGGTATTGCTATATTGATAATGCATCACTAGCATATGCACTGCCATATACTTTCATATCATTTGTCTATCTGTCATCTACTTGCATACACAAGCAGCTGTGGTAGGTTAGAGGTACTTGTCTGGTGTGTGATCAGCTGTGTGATTCATTCGCAGTGTGTCAGCAAGCACATGTTTGAACTTACTTTTTTTATGTTTTAGTATTTGTTTGTGTGTGTGTGTGTGTGTGTGTGTGTGTGATAAGGAAGAACATAATAAAGATGGCTGACGGCTGTGATAGATGAAGGCTGTATCAGTCATTATTAAAGACAGAGGTGCCACTTACACATTTTTTTGGCAGGCAAATCTTATATTGGCTTATTTATGCTGCTGAGTTTGCAACCAGGTACATGTGTGTGTGTGTGTGTGTGTGTGTGTGTGTGTGTGTGTGTATGTTTATTTGTGGCACCAGGGTATATGATATAAAGCTTATAAAAGGAGTTGCCTGAAGGAACGAATATTTATTAGCTTTACAAACAGAATGTCTTCCTTCTCTCCTACAGCGAGCGAGAAAGATGTCATGCTTTTGGTGTGGTGTAAAAGTGTGTGTGCTTTGTGCGGGCGTTCTTCTGTTTGTGTGAGTGTGTTTGAAACCGGGCAGCCAACGTGCTATCCAACATGTTCCAGTTTATGTAACTAAACTGGAAGTGTGATATGTGCGAGGTTGTCAAGTTTAACTGCGAAATGCCCCAGTGGTTTCCGTTTACTGGGTTGATAGAAGAGCGGCCAGTGGATGCTCAGGTTCTGATGAGCTGCCATTGGTTCTGTTGAGCTGGTCTAAGAGCAGCTTCACACTGTTTAGCGCAAAATCCTGACGCCTGTGTGTGTGTTTCACATTTTGTATCTCTGTATTTGTCGAATATCTCTTCCAACTTGCATAACAGGATCTGTTTTTACCTTGTTCACATGACGCTTAAACGTGTTATGAATGAATTTGCATAAACCTGCATGAGACAGTTAGTTATGGGGATGGGAAGGGAGTAATACAGGTTTTTAACGTGTAGTATACCTAGTATAGCTATGTAACATCGATAAAATCAGGTCTCATATCAGGCACTACAAACTCTATACCAATGATTTATGTTTTAGCTCATCCCTTACAAACTATGAAGAAGTGGATCTATAGTATAATGGTTTAAGCATTTGTGGTTTACACATTGGCCTATCAAGTGTGCTATATAGCTCAAATATGCTGGTCTAGCGGCTGCGGTGGGCCCTTAAGAGGGAGCACTTGAACGTAGCTTGCTACAAAAGAATGAACATATAACCCTGCTGTAGCGTCACAGTTTTGTGACTTTAGTGTTTTTCTATCTTTTTCTTCACCTTTTTATTTTTTTTCCCCTAACACATTGGCATGCTAATCGGGTATTGTCTGCATTCATTTTTAAACACGGCAAAGTAGCTTTTCAGGTCTGACTACAGTAAATTGTCCTTACTGGAGTGTAATAATGGAGCTTCATTCACTCAACAGTCTCTTCCTTTTGCTATTAGGATTGTAAGGAAAACAAATTAAAAACGCAGAAATGGTATCTTTTGGGGAAAAAGGTCAGCAGAAATATGAAGTTTTAGTGGAGGAAGTAAAACTTTCAAAAGTGATGGTATGATGGTGGTGTGTGTGGTGGCTGTTTTCTTTTTTCCTTTGAGCCATCTCCCTTCTTCTCTTGTGAGGATTTTGATGCTATTTTTTGATCACTTGTTTCAAGTCTGTAGAGAAACTGAAACCATAGCCTGTTATCCAGGCTCATTACAGTGCTATTGATTGAAAAGAGAAAAGTTTTAAGTACTTGTTGTAGCACCATCAAACTTTGTGCTTATCAGCCGACCCTTTATCAAGCTGGCCCTCTAAAACCAGCCCAATCAAAGAAAATGACGGTACTTATAAGCTCATTATCAGTTTAGACATATCTAATGTGTAGTGTTCCTTTTTCCCCCCCTGTGTTTTTAACAGAAACAGAAGGGCGGTACTTGCAGCCATTCAAGTGCAGATTTGATTGTCCATATGGTGCCGTGACAATTGTCACAAATGCTTGAAAGTAGTTCTACTTTGATCTCATTTTTCATTCCAGACAAGCTCATTACAATGTTTGCATTTCTTAATGTGAACAAACTGTATAATTAACAGAGAAAGGAATTGGGAATCTTGCATATGAAATTGACTCATCAAGACAATTGCACATAACTGTTATAAGTGATGTTATGATGCAGGTTTCAAGGGGACCCATTACTTTCTTTTCCAGAATCTTTGTGTCATTTTAAATCACACCTCTTCAGAGTCATCCTCCCTTTTAAGCCAACTTTATTCAGATTGGCTGCCTCTTGCAAACAGAAGATTTGAACAGCAGATACACTACTGTGCAAAAGTCTCAAGACATCATTCATTTCTCTATATGGAGACATGAAGCCAGACTTTCGTGTAGATTTTTTAAGGTATTCTTGAGCAATTGTTCACCAGACTTTCTGAAGGAATTGCAAAGTTTTTCTCTGGACATTGGTCATGTTTTCACTAATTTCAGTCCAGTTATTGTGCCTGTGTTGACTTTCAAGCATGTAAGAATTACACCAGCTTGTTTATGGCTTTATATATAGTATTTCCATTGCATGTTTCAATAAATTGCCTGTTTATTTCCTATCTTTGAAATTAGTTTCCACAGAGTTAGCCTCTGAACCTGACCAAAAATGGGTGTCTTGTATCAACAGTTTTTATTTTTTTATGACATAGTTGTTAAAGTCATCGTCCATAACATAATAACATTGCCATTGCAACTTTCACTGAACTGCAACCAAGATACACATTCATACATGAGGCCAACATGTTCAGATGCCAGATTAATGGGAAGAAGTACGTGTCCCAAAGAGGTTGTCGACATCATCCAGGTCAAAGAGCAGAAAATAAATCTGCTGTAAACTGAACATTTAAATTAGTCTAAAGCTTGAGCTTTTGACTCGTATGGCCTACTTATACATAATGCTGACCTCATTATTTGAAATCCTGGCCTTGTTTACTGTAATAATGGGTTCCCTTTGAGGAGAAGTAAGATGCTACATCATTGCGTCATTAACTGTTTACAAATAAAATGATTGAACTGCATTGCCAAAAACAAAAGTTGTCAGAGGAATACTTGATTTACTGGGGAAAAAAGTTTCTTTTTAGTAGAAAAATTGATAAAACCACAAAATGTTTCATGTTCTTTTCTGTTTTTAACCATGTCAACCATCTATATTAAGAGCAAA